GTGTTTTTACATATTTTTTATTCAGATACTCTCCATTAAACGAAATCGCATAGATATCAGGTCAACTCACGTCCCCGTTAATTTCCAGCAATTACACTCAGGCATTCAGATTCAGGAAAATTTGGATTAGCTCCCATTCCTCACCAGATTCAATTGCCTCGGATATGAACTGAGAGTAAACAAGGCATGGCAAGTATGAGTTTACACGCTGCCTCACTATGTCCCGTGTAAAGCCGAAAACTTGGGTCTGGAAACAGCCTGCATTGCTCAGCACTATTTAGAGGTCTTTGGGTGATTTGTACCGATTAAGAATCCTCTCTAGACCACATGATTCGATTATTTCTCGTGCACATTTGGATCCCTGACTGTTGAAAGAGCAGTCTAGCTTGCTTGCCTGGCAGCCCGCTTGTTTAGAAGCTCCTCTTTAAGGGCTATGTGGGCAACTAGCAGACAAAGCTAGATTAATCATTAAGGACAATAAGTACGAGTTCAGGGCTATTAAGGAGTACTATAGAAAAGATACTCAGGGACTCGAGGAGACAGCACAAAAATTTGCTATTGCTGGTTTAACCAAGGAATATATAGCGCAGCTAAACGGAGACCGAGACAGAAGAAATGAAGGGAAAAAATGTAAATGTATGTGGGGTACTAGAATCTTAAATGCTTAAGGGGAGTCATCACTTTTGCGCAATACAAAAAGTGAGAATTTTGGCTGATTTTCGAGTTTTAATAAGTCGAATTGTTATGGTCATAGATTATGAAATTTTTAGTGTGTTATCTCTATAGATAGGTGATTATGCTTTGAGATTTATTTTACTAATAGTACATAAGAATTTGTTTTATAAAGAAAAAACAAACTGTATTTTTCGAAAATTTAAAAGTTATACTAAAGCACTGCACGCAACCTGACAGTAATACAGATTTAGTTACCGTAATAATTTTTACAATATTGTGTTGGAACATCATTAGGTATGATTCTTCACCTATTTTAAAATATCAAAGAATATTAACACCCTTAGAATAAAATCTTAGAAAACAGAAAAAGTATTAAAATTTTTTTAAATTATATAAATACTTTAAAAATAATTTTTCGAAGAAAAAGGTAGGTGCATTTTTTCAGCAATATCATCTTGTACGTACCCTGGAATTTTTAAATCAATAGCTATGATAGATTCTTTCAAAGAGTGCGCGCAAGTATGAAAATCACAATTTTGAGAAAAATGGTTTAAAAATTTTCAGTATATTTTCTCTCAAATAACACTAAAACAGTTTAAAACTGCCAAGCTGCATACACCATATCCTTCTGTTCTTCAATAGCTGTTAGTGCAACAAGTTTGGCTCTTTTTCTTGCTCTGCGAGCATCTATTGCTAGACATCTGTGCCTTATTTCGGCTCACTGAATACGACGATGATCAGTGTCTGCTACAAACTTGACTGCATTTATCACCCATTCAGTATCCAAGTTCATTCATAGTATGTAATCGCCCAGCTTGACCATCGTTCTATACAATAACTGCATCATTCACTGCTGTCTTATTATAATCACATCCGAAATTTTTAGAACACAATTTCCAAATCAAAGCATTCAACGATTCATTTGGATTCTGTGTATGTCCTCCTAAACACTTTTTCAGTAATAATGGCATGCTAATATCTTTAAATATATATTTGATAGCATCCATTACAGATGGTAGATTTTTATGTTTGTACGATTTCAGATTTCCACTCGCACTCGCTCTTTGATATGTACATCACGAAACCTCCCCTGTTGGGCAAAAATTGTGAGTAGGTTCCACGTCGATTGAACATTTGTCGTAAAATATTGTTTATACTGCTTTTTGCATCGCTTTTACACAACTGCAATGTTTTCTAACAGCATTTCCATATGAATTGTCAATTAGTCTATAATATAAGCTGTAAGGCGACCTTTTCTACTAAGAGTTTTACTGTTATTCTTCCCCCTCATTTCTTACTTTCTCTTTCGTAATTTAGTAGCTATTCTTTTCTGAATGTGTCCGACAGATTCAACTTTACCAAAATACATGATGTTAACAGTAACAATTAAAGCAATCTACGAGTGAACATTCGTAAGCAGTGCGCGTACAATTGTAAACAAACGTCAGGTGATGATTTAAATGCCCGATCTTGCAATATTTACCTCAGAATCGTTTCCTTTATTTCATAATTTTTAAGATTCTAAATCGAATATCGTAACGCCGTTTGTTTTAACAGACTCAGAAATGTTTGCAGTTTCTAAATATGTAAAAAAAAAAAAAAAAAAAAAAAAATTCGATTTTTTGAATGTGTAAAGGTGATGACTCCCCTTAAGGTTGCTAAAAGCCTTGATCCGGCCCTGCTCGCAGATGACATAATTATTTTCTGAAAACCGGGCATAAGCCTGAAAGATTTTTAGATCGGAAACGGATCAGCGAATAAAGGGGTGCCCTGCAATAATATAGCATCTTCCCTCGGAAAGGGACAGCCTGCGGCCCGCTGGTGAAGCAAATCGCCCCACTCCTCTTTCTTTCTTCTGTATCTTTACACATCAGAAACTAAAACCGAAATCTGACCTGTCACTTCGAACAAACCTCCGAAGACACCTCGGCTCAGGCAAACGCAGAGTTCCCAAGCGAGAGCGTTATTCCAGTAATGACAAATATTTTTTTCAATTTTGGAACTTGTATTAGTTATGAAAACTAGTTCACGTGGACAACATCAGGTCACGTCTATGAACAAACAATAATAAGATAGCAGAGTCCTGTAGTGAATTTATTAAGTCTTCTACTTCGAAATATCGATATTAACGAGCCAAAAGAGTAAAATAGCGTAACCTAACCGCTACTAGACAAGTGCTATAGAAGATGCAAGTAAACGCCATATGGTGTGAGGAGCACACTGCAATGAAAAAGAAATGTGAATATGCAAGACACTACAACTGCAACATGTATCTACAAATAGCAGACAGCTTAACCAATAAAATAAGTAAAAAAATTATAAGTACGCCCAAAAAATCATAAGCAGGGAGAAAAATAAAATTATCCAATGTATCATTAACTAAAATTTTCAGTCTAAACAGATGGTGCTATAGACAACTGCGTATACCGAGGTCTAAAAAATGAATTTAGAAAGATAATTTAGCATTTCAAATGATCATCTGAATGAATACTAGTATTAAAAAATTATCGCGAGTTATTTGATGAAATTTAATTTTATACGATTTTTAAATTGTACATTTTTGTTCCTGCGACTGGAAATATTTTCAATTATGCAGAGTGTCCACGAAGTCCCTGAACCATTTTACCTTATTATTGCGAGCACCCTGTAAGAGATGGTGCTATAGACAACTGCGTATATATAGTCCTAAAAAATTAATTTAGAAGGATAATTTAGCATTTCAAATGTGACCACTACCAAAAATATAAGTTATTCCATTCCCAAACAAAAGGTTTCAGGGACTCTGAGAATACCATATATAAATTTGACAATTTCTTTTAGGGCCAGTTGTGTACTGAGCATTAAACACCGGTAATGTTTTAAAGAAACCTTTCAGTAGGTCAAGGAATAATTTGCGCACTGAAATCTTATTTAAAAAAGAATTAAAAGGCATATCTAAAAATTTAAACTTCAAGGAATTTAAACTTCGAATATTTTTACCAAAATGTGTCACGTGACATAAGTTCTCACAGTATGAAACCCTAAGATAGTTAATTGCATATATATTACATACATGTTTAGTATACCTTTTTGTAATTTATATGATTTTAATTTTTAATACTTCAGAAAGTTTTTATTTTTATGCGATTTAAATCCGAGTACGAATGGTATGTCGGGGAAATTCAGTGGCAATTGTCACACTATCTGAAACATAATTTTTCAAAAAAGAAGAAATTTACTTAAAACTGTTTAAAGTCTTGCATTGTCGAGTGGAAAGAAACACGTTCAGCACTCATTAGTCGACAGAGTTTGGTGTTTCAAATACATAACCCTTTGACAAATTCTGTTTGAAACATTGCATAGGGATGATTATTATTCTTTTATCATTTTTCATCGATTCCTTTACTATTAATCTTTTCATTGGCTCTATAATGTTAGTTTTAATTATAATGATTACAACACTCTTTTTACAAGTTTTAACTTCCCGCACAAAAAACTCGATATATTTGACCACTCTAAAAATTTTCCACTTTTGCTACTAAGACCTATTTACCTTACATCTTCTTCCTCAGATAGGATAATCAAGATTTCTATTCCTTTGGAACTCAATCTTTTTATATGTATAACAAACATATAATGTGCTTATAACATTTATGCACACGCACACTCATATATAACAAATTATTATGAGCTTTTTATACTCTATGATTTGCAAACCTAGAAGGCAAAAGACAAAAGAAATAAAAAATCCATCTAATTAATGCAAAACGCAAAACGACAGAAATGAAATGATCATGTAAAACTGCAGCTCTTCTTCAGGGAACTCTGCAGAGCACAGTTCTACACAATCTACTACATTTTAGAATTTGTTTCTAGATGAATAAAAAAGCGTGAATATATTTTTTCAATTAAAAAAATGTAAATCCAATAATTAAAATTTATCTCAGAAGTAAATCTGCCCTAAAGTAGCCGGGGGGGGATTAATTTCAAAATGAAATTATAAAATCTGGAATGGAATCAGCTACATAAAGCATTAAAAATAACAGTAATAGCCAGCTGTAACAATATAGTAATAGCCAGCTGTAACAATATAGTAATAGCAGTTTGTAAAAGCTATAACAGGCTATTGCTGTATGTCTATCATACTCTGCAGCCCGAAACATTATTGAAACAGCACGTCGAAACCCAATGGAAATCTTGATATGTTGACCGCATATGACGGCTTTCTCTCATAAATGCTGGCTTTAATTATTGCAGGAAAAAAAACTTGAAAAGCAATAAAATAATGTATCTTGCTTTATAATTTAATGAAAATGTAATGATGCAGGGAAATTAAAATCAGCAGCTCTACAAAAATGCTTGACTTTTTATTATACCATATTTCTGAAATCTGCAATAAAAAATTAATGTATTAACAAAGGTAGGAGTTTTATTGATTCCTTAAAGCTTTATAAAGATAATCAATGTTAATTCAGTGTGATTATCCCATTGATCACAGCCCTTTTTCAACCAAATTATAAGAAATCATTGTTGCATAACAATTCTTAAATAAATATCTGGTTATACATCAATAACATTTTGAGCAACCTTCCATAAGAAATTAAACATTCAACAATTAACATCAAGACACTGCATGTACAAGACAGATACCTTGCTTGCTTATAGAATTTTTAGAGTTTTTTATATTTATCTTACATGAACAAATTTTTGCTGAATCATCATTTAGTGCTACATGATAGTTAGGTAAATACAGCTCAGGTTAAGATGCCATCATTGGAGACACAAGGGAAATAACTATATTTTCTAGTGCTGTTGAGCATATGGATGCTACTAAAGAGCATCAAGTTATGAGTAAAACAATGAACATATCATTTACAGGTTAAAAAATAATCTAAAATCAAGTATCAGAGGCAATTAGCCATCTAAATGCAGAATAATAATCTTATACCTAAGTAACAATTAAAAAAACATTATGTTTACTAAAGGGCAGGTAATCTGAAGTTGCTTAAGACAAACATTTTGTGTATACAGAACCTGACAAGATGTTTTTTCTATTGCAATAAAAATAAAATTCATAAAGGTATAAGTTTCTCAAATCTCATGATAAAGACGTTTCACTATATGCATATCCTTCATACTTAACACACAGCCATTCAACTTGCTTTGCATCACAGTTCAAGTTCATTCAAGAAAATTGTCATGAATTGCCCAGTCACGTAGATGTAACTAATACAAGTACATTTAGATCACGTTTATTCTTGGTTAGTGCATTAAATGCATTTATTTGATCCAAACACAATAATATACAAAATAAAATTACAAAAAATGAGACAATGCAAGTGTTAAATGCATTCAACAGAATAACACATTTACATTTTTAATACAATAAACAGTAACTTTATTGCACCATTAAATAATCTGAAATTACAAAATTGCAGTTCACTGAACCAATTACATTTTATCCTAATTATGTTTAAATGAAAATGTTTCGTATTTTACTTGGAAATACAAATTTGAAGATTTTACATTTGGATGATTTAGAATTTAGAAGCTGAAATACACATAGAAGCAAAAGCTGTATGTTATAAAATTTAGGCACAGAAATGATTCACTAGATTTTCATTAAGTATATTTTGGTGGAAACCATTTATTATAATCAAACACTTTCAAATACTAATAACAAATTGGAATTCTAGGCACACAAGTTGCTACAAAAGTGATTACTAAATAAGCACAGACAGTCATTTAAGATGTCATGAATTAAAGGAAGAATAATAAAGCTTTGACACATGTGATATCAACTCTAAAATGCGGAGTTATTTTATGGCACAAAAACTTCATCTAATATGATCTATAAACATTTAAGAAAAATTATACATTTTAACGTCGCAAAGTAAGCATGTCAGAAGAAGTTATTTTACAAAGGATTAATTAAAATTATAAAAAGGCACTTACCTAATGCTACATAACTACACTTACAAAGAATATGATACACGAAAAATGTATTCACAAATATCATTTGAGCAATAACAGAAATGAAGTTTACTTCATGTTGTTGCTAATAATCATTACATGTGCAAAAAAACAAAGTTCAAATATGAATAAACTCTTCAGTTATTAAATGATTCAACTTTGTTTCACTAAAAAACAATTTTTCATTTAAAGGTAACAGCTATACCATGCTGAAAGAATTGTTCGCAAGTTGAATATTTAAACTGTTGTTCTTTTCTTAACACTAGCTTTTCATGAAATTCATCAATTTCACTCATTTATGCTAATTTAATATATGCAATATTTGGAATTTTCCAAGCAAATTTTAATGAAATAACTCAAAAGAGAAATTGCTGAAGCATCAAACTGACCGAGATGCTTATTAAAAGAAAATGAGAACGGGAAAAACATACATCTACAATGATAGGGCAGTACTTGGAGATTGAAAAAAGTAAATGGTATAAAAAGGAACATTCTTGTAGCATAAAGGAAAAGAATCAACACAATCAGATAATAAAATTTAGCTGAAATTAACTTCAGAAATAATGAAATGTGTATTACACTGACTATCATGCAATTGAAAATATTTTTTCTGGTAATAACTTGAGGTAGTCAGTATTGAGCTAACACTTTTGATTCAATATCATGCATGTATCAGTGATGCAACAGGTTCATACATTCTTGTGCTAACATAAGACTTTGGTGAAGTGTAAGTATTCCATGCACTGAAATATAATAAATAAAACATGAAAGGAGGTAAACATTGAATTTAGGCATTTTATAATGAAATCAGCTATGTAAGTTCGGTATTTAAATTTATTCAAATTTGTAAAAATACAAATTACATTTTACGGCTCATGATCTCAGAAGTATTCGCAACTCAATGTTTACAACACAGTAAAATATTAAATGACTTCGCACAAAGGTACATTGTACCTTACATAAACTTGCTGAAGTTATTTATAAGTATATTACATGTTAAATTTGCTATTACTTAAAATAATCTATATACAAAATATATAAAATGAAATACATAAACATATCAATAAAATTAAGTTTCAGCAATCAATAATACGGGAAGCACTGGGACATTCATGACAATGTAACTGCATCTCAGTGTAGAAAGGGAGGAAACATTTATGAAGTATTTTCTGTTATGTACATTAAACCCTATTTAAAAAATATTTTACAACAGAACAAGATGCTAAAAAAATTCGAAAAGGTTCACAAAATGGTTGTCAAAATCTCAACACAATAAAATTATTTAGCAGTCATGATGTAAGGTAAAGCAAAATAATTGCTACTAAGCACCAGTGACTGATAACAGTGGAATAACTGATGTTAAAAGCAGTAAAAATTTACATTCTAATACTTAATGTGCAGCGTCATCTGGGAGATCAGAAACAGAGCTCGGTCGGACTGACCGAGAAGAGTTTGTCTCAGACCACCTTCTTACCATATCACCATCTTGATTTGAACTAGCATCTTGCCTGACATGTAGTTGTGCTGAAACTGTGGATGAATCTAAACTGTGACTGGAGCTAAGAGAAACAGGAGCATTACCATTAACACTACTTAATCCAGACTCTGTTTTAGACTTTGGTCGTAGAGTATTTCTAAAGCCTTCAAAAAAGTTTCTCTTACTTTTGGGAGGGCTCTGTTGTGCTAAGTTTGCACGCTTCTCAAGAGGCAAAGAGTTTTTGCGCTGCCTATCAGAACTCTCAGCTACATTGTCAGAAATTTTATTTGGACTTGGAACTTCACTGTCTTGATTTCCGAGCACTGATGGCACCGCTAAGCTCTGTGATTGAGATTCCAGAGGTTTATCAGCAGCTTCTCTGGCACTTCCGATAGAAACTGTTGTGTTTTTTGCTTCAACAGTATCCGTCGATCGAGCTTTTTTGTCCCGTCCTGGATACCTCAGAGATTTAGAGGTAAGAGAGGCTCCTGAAGCAGCACTTGTTAGCTTAACTGACTTGTGAGCTGCTGCTGGGTGTGAGAGCGTTTTTCTTAAGGAAGGATTCCATAATGAGCCTAATTCTGGTGCAGAACTGTAACATAACTTTTCTTTTAAATTGTTTCCAACATACACTACTGAATGCCATATTTCTTAATGTATAATTTATTAATTTAAATAAAATATTGCTTATAAAATTTGGAGGGCATTGCACAAATTTGTGATTCATTAGTAAGAATCAAAATCGTAAAAACAACCTTGTATTTAGCGTAAGTATGTTGAAACACTCAATCGATTTCGAGGGCAATTAAAGGTCCCTCCTCATCAGAATTTTTTTTTTCCTCCTGATGAGGAGGGACCTTTAGCTGCCCTCGAAATCGATTGAGTGTTTCAATATACTTACGCTAAATACAAGGTTGTTTTTACGATTTTGATTGTCACATTAGCGTGTTTCATTAGTAAGGTTTCTATTCACAGTGAGGAAGGAAACTGCGAAAGCCATTTAACTTATGGCTAAATAAAAATTAATACAAGCATGTAGGCAATACATGTTTGAAAAATAATACAAGAAGATCTTTAATTTGGTTGGAAGTATTAAAATATATACACTATTTATTCAACTGACTCTTTAATAAAACACACCACAAATGAAATGTTTTAATGCAAAAAAGTTAAAAGAAACTAAACAGCTGCCAAAAGGTGTCAGGTTTATCTCTGTTTTGCCCAATAAAGCATTTTATTTATGATTGGATGCACGCACACGAATGATTCCCATAATACACGTCTTTATGCAAAATCCCACAAATTCACATAAAGGGTAATATAGCGGGAGCACATATACTGCAAACGGTAAAAAAATGATTTCTATTATTCTTTTACATGGAGACCTTTTGTAAGAACAGCAAATCAGGATAAAATGACTTCATTTCTAATACATATTAAAAGCACAATCTTCTGTAGAAATGCCAGAAAAGTGCAGAATATATCAATTTTAACAGATTATCAAATCAGATGCATAGATGGTTGAAAATAAAATTTTTCGTATTTCAAAATTTGAATACAGCAGTTCATATTTACAGATAATTACAATGAATTCAGTTGCTTGTGTATCATACATTATAAAATATGGCATTTACATAAATATTAAAAGATGAAAAATTAAAGTTTCAAAAATGATAATATTAAAGTCATTAATATAAAATAATGAAATATACCACATAACAAGAGGAGTTTTATAAATGATGGATTAGACTACTAAGCAGGAGGATTTTAAATACACTTTAGTGAAACGTATAACATATCTGAAAACTAAAATTTTCTTTCTGCGAAAAGAGCAAGATTCCTAGACAGCCATGCATTAATATGATTTTTACTTTAAGCTCATATTTTAAAAGCGACAAATTTATGTTCTGTATTCATACACCAAGGAAATCAAATGACCAAAAAAATTAATAAAATTTAACACCGAACAGAGTAAATGTCTTTAGATTTTTAATTTAAGATTTCAAACTCCACAATACACTTACTGAACACATTTAAAATATGGAACTCTGAGTATGATACTTACATATCTTTGGTTAATTCCTTTTGATATGCTATTGGAGACTGCAAAGCTGAAATGAAAAAAATATTGTTTATAAGCTAGTACATAATTACCTACAGATTTCAGAAGGGCATTTTATAGTCAAGTAGCAGTGAAATTAAGGCAGCAGTTTCATCATGGGGAGAATTTAAATGAATTTTATAGGATTTTCTTGAAATTTCGCGATTACAAATCCCCAAATCCCCCCCCCCCCCGCGAATGTCGAATGAATTCGTAAATTCCAATTTTCATTATATGCGTAAATTCCATTATATCCATATATTATTATATTCGTAAATTCCATTATATCCAATTTCCATTTTAATTATTTTGTTTTTCGTATTCAGATAACTAATATTGTTCATCTTTCAGTAAAATTACCTGAGAAATGCACAGTAAAGTAATTCTATTCTGAAATCTTAAACCAGAACTTTGAACATTAAGTTTCACATCTTGCTAAATTTGTACCATAATTTTAGCTACAAAGTCGATTAGAATGGACAGTGAGTACTAAAATAGGCAGTTTTCTCTAAATTGCATGAAACAGCCTGTCCACTGCTATTAAATATTCAAAAACAGTTTTGAAGTACAATTCTTTTCATGCGAGTTTAAACGGATGACGCTGTCAGAGTTCTGAGTTTTTGAGGGAAAACGCAGGATACCGCCATGACAGAGGAGGAGATAGTCAAATAGACGATGTGTGCGCATTAAAAGAAGGAATTTTTCTTTTACTATGAAAGTTTTCTTGTAAATATTCATGTTCCTGCCGTCTACTTTTTACAGTGTGCAGAAATCTTTAATATCTCCATTAAATGTTCAGTTTAAAATATTAATTGAATTAGTTGATTATTTACCCCTAGATACTAAATTCTTCAACTATTTATGAAGTAAGTCATCAGAATTCAAGGCGAAAATAGTAAGTATCAGGCCTATAACATACACCGAAGGGCCATTACATTATGGCCACCCTGTTAATGACATGTAGTACTCAGAACAACCAGCACCTGGCGTGGCATTGACTCCACAAGGTGCTAATACCTAGTTTAAGGTATCTGGTATCAAGCGCTCACCAACTACTCCTGAAATTCCCGCATGTTGCGAGGAAGTAGCATGGCAGCACGAATTTGGCTTTCCAGGTGGGACCACAAATGCTCTATTGGATTAAAGCTAGGTGAATTTGGAGGCCAAGACATAACTTGAAAGTCACTGGAATGTTCCTCGAACCACTCCCTGACGATTCGACCCTTATGACATGGTGCATTATCCTGTTGGTAAACACCATCCACCGGCGAAAATACTGTTACTTTGAATGGGTGAGCCTGCAACGATGTCCACGTCGCGTACAGACGTCAAGGATTGTCCTATGGGGATTATGGGTCATAATGTGCTCCATAAAAACAATGCCCACACCATATTACCCTCCGCCACCGGCTTGTCTCCGTCCAACTGTGCATCCGGGAGCAAGGGTTTCGTTTGGCAATTGGCGTATTAGCATATGCTCGTCGATGTGATGGACCAGAAAACGTGATTCGTCGGACCATGCAACTTTCTTACATTCTGCTAATGCCAAATTCCGATGATTCTTGGCCCATTGCAGCCGTAGCTGCCGATGACGGACCGTCAGAGTAGGGATATGCTTCGGCCTCCGGCTGCGTAGGTCCATATGCAGCAATGTACGCTGCACATTGTGTTGAGAAACACTGTCTGGGTCGTAAGTGTTGTAGCTGGTGGTGATTTCGGCAGTTGTATTTCTTCGGTCACGGTGAACAATGTGTAGCACTCTCCGCTCTCCTCAATCAATGCGCCGTCGATGACACACTGCTGGCCGGCAACTTCTCGTTTCACCATCCATACACCACTTTCGATATTGTGTACACTTGGGAGTGGCCTATTATGACCATGAGACCAACTTGTTTGGTTCGGTGGGTTGGGCTGCGCCCACTATTGATACCACTTTCGATATGTGCTCACAACTCACGTGAACAGCCCACTCAAGGCGCCGTTTCTGATACTGATCTTCCCATTCACCGAGCCATAACGATTTTACTTTTATCGAAGTTTGATAAATTAGCTGCTTTTCCCATTATGTCGCTAATCCCGCTATGTTTGAAAGGACAGTTCAGTTGGACTTGATTTTTGACAGCCTTCAGCAAATCTGTTGCTTATATGCCCGACATGAAAAATGCCTTTAGGTGTTGGTTACTTTTAGAAATTAAGGCGATAACGCCGCGCCGTTAAAGGCGAAGCTAAAACAATTACTCGGGGTACGTATGTTAAACTAAAGAGTTGCATCTGGGCGGAGTTGTTCGAGCTGTGAATATCATCTCTGCTGGTTAAGAAAGGTCGATTCGTCGGAGCCAGTCCAAAGACTGACCGCGAGAACTACTGCTGGAAAACAGGCGGTCCGTTGAAATGAAAGAAAAAATTAATCTTAAAAGTTCATGCTGGGAGAAAATCAGCAGGTGCTTCTGACTTAGTTGATTAATCTTCACTGTCTGAGAATTTCACCAGAGTTAGTGCAGCATTAAATCCTGCTGTTAATTTCTCAGCAGTGGTTTTTAGCTGCGCGTATCTTGTCTATGTGGGAGATGCTGCTGCTCAGGAAATTGCTGATCTTCTTGGTTTTGGAGACAGTTAATAGCTTCATCAAATTCTTTCGGAGGAGGTTGGAGGGTTTTTCTTAATTTTTGCGCTGTACAGATATTCGGTAAAATTCTTCTATCTTCTTCAGCTTCTATGAGTTTAGATAAATCATTAGAAGTAGGTGGTGGAACTGCAGGCTTTTGCGGGATCTTCTTATTATCGAACCTCTTCTTAATGGCAGGACATCCTAGGTAGGAACATACGTGATGTTCAGAGAGAAACAGGCATGTTGGTTTCTCATCAGGTTTAAGGGGACAGAGTTGACTTCTGTGGTGTTTGCCACACTTACAGCATCGCTCAGGATTTGAGTAAAGGTGCTTTGAATGTCCAAATTACTGGCATCGATAACATTGTATTATCCGTTTCCTAGGGGTGAACTTCTAAATTTTTACATTTACGGTAAACATATTATTCAGTTGGCGTATTGCTTGACCTGTTTTCGTTTTCTTCAATTCCAATAGGAATATTAGCAGTTTCTCGAAGATGTTTTTCCGACTCCTAGTAAATTGCTTTACCTTGATTATGGGATAGTTACGTCTTTCTAAGTCCATCTTAATTGTTTCCTCAGTCACAGTCTCAGGTAAGTTCTTCAGCACCACTTGGATCGGCTTCTCGCTCAGTAGTTGAAATGAATGAAATGGTATATTCTTTTCCTAAAGTATTTTAGTGGATTTCCTTCAGATGTCAATCGTTTTCACATTCACATATAGGGATTTAGATTTCATATCAGCTTCAAACTCGTCATTGCATACATTAATTAGCATTTCATGCACTTTAAACCAATCAATGTCATTCTGCTAAAAACTATTGGGGGAGGTGCGTTTCTTCTTCTTTGGCTCCAACTTCCTCAAAATTTTCGGTAGAATTCTGCACTTGCAATTTATTTTCTTTAGCAATTTTCATGAGGACTTCTTTTCTGTACTTTTCGCCGTGATGGTTAAAGATGGCAACTGGAAAACCTAGGGGAAATCCAATTGCCCTCTTCACCATCATTCTGTTTAGTATCTTCGGTTTTACTTTTCTTTTGAATTTGTCCATCTAGTTCTGCTTGTCTGGTACTCATCTCAGGGTTAGCAAAGCAGGGTTTCCTCAGTGTTCTTAAAACAGCATCAACTCCATACTCTTAAATTATTTTCGACAAGTAATTTTTCCTTTCCTCTTCATTCAGAACTCCGTCAGCCTGTCTGTTCATAATTTCGTCTGTCTGTTCATAATTTCGTCTGTCTGTTCATAATTTCGTCTGTCTGCTTGTTCCTCCTTCCAGTCTCTGTAGCCGACATCGTTTTTGCCTTCTTTTTATTTTTCTTATTTTTGGAAGAAATCACGAAGTCGTCTTTTCTTACCGGGTAAGTCTTAATAGATTGGAAAGAACGCTAGAATCGGCCATCTCGCTTAGCTCATCTTTTTCCGAAAGATCACGCGGTGTCCTAAAAAAGGACATTTTCGTTGGTTGCGTAGGCTAATGTTTAGAAAGATCCTTATCCGCGCTAGTATTGCCAGAATATCGCGCAAGGCACGACGTGTTTGGCTCATGAAGCAAAGCCCAGTGGGCACAAGACGTTAAAGGTTCCTGATAAGAAGTCGGTAAAGTTATTAAGGTGATAATAGGGGGTGACCATGCGTCATTTAGCCACAGCAGAGCCAGAATACAAGAAAAACCAGATTCAGGAGCTGTGAGGAATACTGTGGTGCATGTTTATGTTGTTGCATTGAATAACAAAGACAAATGAAACAAGTGTAATGTTTGGAAAGCAACTTGCTTTATTTGCCGCGATTAACCTGCGAAATTGCAGGTTGTGTTCCGGCTATCGAACTTTGGTGCTTCTAGGAGCGCTGCAGGTAAGGAAATGCCGAACGTAGTTCTCGTGGAGACAGGATAGCAAATGCAGGGGGTGTGACCAATGTCATGTGATGAGCGATAAGACATCTGGTTGGCGATGAGGTATCCAGGCATCTTAGCGCTGTAAATCTGAAGTTTTACAATAGTTATACATAAAATAGTACTAAATCAACGCTGCATAGCCTCTTTATGTACTTCAACATCAGCCGCGCACGTGCAGTGGTTTCGTTCTGGGCGAGCCCATTGTTACAGATGGAGGGTGGTCATAATACATTGGGTGTTCGGTGTAGTTATTTCTGCTATAGCTACATAGGCAGAAAAATATTCTTTTTTCTTTTTGTGCCCCGCCCCCTTTCTGCGGAAAGTCTTAGTATGAATTCTTGACAGCCGCTGAAGTTGTTGCGAAATTATTAGTGTAAATTCTAGGTTGCAAAATTATCGCAGACTTTCGCGATTTACCTCACTCTGAGAATTTTGCAGCTTTTTTTCTTAATACAGTTATTGCCCTAGTTATGATCATAGTTGTTGAATGAATAATTATTTCATACAAAAGTAAAAATACGAATTTTATTTTCGGGCACTAATTTGCTTTTTAGTGAAATAAGAATTAAACATTCTGTATTACAATAATAATAATAAAAGAAGCAGTAAGTATCTTAACGTTTAAATAATCAAATAAATTGCACCAGCTAAGATTTTCAGTCATTAATTCCTCTAAAAATAGATTTCGTTATGCAGTGATTTATAAATCAGTTAAAAAAAAGAGTTAAAACTATATGTTTTACTAACAGTAAATGAATATACTGACACTGACTATTCATTTAAACTAAGAACTTAGCACAGGAAAATCATTTAATTTAAAGACAGAATTGAATATTTTAAATGTATTTATCTGGAGAAAGAGCTGAAAATCTGTAGCTAAGGCATTTCTGAATTTCAGAAAAATCACATTACAATTTATGTTTATTTGTAATAACATTTAACACTTAGATACAAACACTGATTCTGAAATTATTCACAGATGATTAAAAACAATGGATTTTAAAATGGTAAAAAGCAGTATATTATGCTGTGTCACTATTTCTACTGGTCCAAAAATCATGAAAAAGTCTTTATATATTAAAAACTAATGTAATAAATTAAAAAGTAATTCTTATATAAATATACCTCTAAGAAAATCAAGCTGAGTATCTAGAATAGCTCTTATATTAGATACCCATTCATTTCTGTCTTCGGTAGTTTTCCCCTGAATAACAAAAGCCAATCCAGCTTGTAACGGATCTTTTGATTTGAGCACAAATTTAGTAGGATCTCCATCCTCAGAATGCTCTTCAAGTGCCATTTTATTAACCTGGAACATCATGGTATAATATAATTTTGAAAGGAAGACCATACAAAGATTTTTATAAAACAGGTAATCGGTGATATATACATTAGATTCTTAAAATTTAAAGGGCCTCTTTCTCTTTTATGGAAAAGCAGTTTTTAAGTAACATTTCTTAGGTACGTAGAAAATGATACAAAAGCTTTGAATAGGTAGCTCATCAAATAATTAAAAATATTAAAGTTAAAAACTTATTAAATTTGGTGACCAATGCTCTGTAACACACAACTTGCAACATATTTTAAAATATAACTATTAGTAAAGATTATCTGAATAACGAATTATGTACAAGATATTTCAAACTTAAAGTTAGATTATTTTATTTTGAATACAGAAAAACATGCGAGGAATATCTGCCAAAAGGAAGGGAAGCCTTCGTGGAGGACTTTCTAAATGGAAATGGTTTGTATTCACATGTAAAAACTATGTAAATTGCTCGTGCAGTCATCCCGTTCGCCGGCACCTGAAGCTGGGTCAGACTGCTGAGTAGTCTTACCCATTTGGCCTTTGGCCACTTGTGAACAGTATGAAAAACTAGCTTGGAAAAATTATGCAGCTGTGATGCAAGTGCCGTCCACTCATTGCGCAAGGAAGTTTCAGATTCAATAAACTACGGTAAAAATCACAATGTTTAAGTGCTGAAACAAGCCTACAAAAGAATACTGTTTCAACACATAAGCACTGTGGAAAATTATGGAAACTCTGCAGCGACTCCCAAACAGTTGTTACCAAACAGTCATTGATAAAATTTGCTAAGATTGTATTGATTACACATTTTAGTGAAGACCACTGATTGCTACTTGCTGGCACTACATCTAATATCAACACGTAGCAAATAGCACGTACACAAATTAAAAATTTGTGTAATATGGGAAGTCTAATGGCAATACAAAGTCAATTTTATGCAGTGTTCGATTTAAAAAAAAAGATTGAGCCAATTGTAAGGAAGCCTATGATACAAAACAAAAATGCCTGTTGCTATAGCCGTATTTTAAAATAAGCATTTCAAGGTACAGTGGCCCACCACTCATTTACTATCATAACGATCTTATCACAACTAGCGAGGCGCTGCACTTAAGAAGCATTTTGAACGGGAGGTATCTAGGCAAAACAGCTGGGCTCAGCTGCATGTTGCTTCTATGTACCTGCAACATTTTACAATGCTGGGGTAAAAAATTTGCTCACAACCGTTTCACATAGGAGAGAAAGAAGGAAACTTATTTTTATGAGGTCTTCACATAAACCAACCTATCGTCATCAACGCAGATACGTGATTAGAGATTAAGGAATTTAAAAAAATAAATGGACTCTACCATCTTCTGCTGCAGTCGTTACCATGGTTACGAGGCAAGACAGAAGGGGGGAAAAGCGGCCTCGATGTGCCCATTCTGTAGGAACGCAGTCACATCCGATAGTAATTAAGTGATTGTCTAAAAAATTTCGAAATACGTTGCATCTAAGTTTTACATAATTTTATTCAATTATATGCATTTCATGCTTTAGACACCTTAATGCTTATACATGTTTCAATAACTGGAAATGTATCCATACTGATAAGAAATGAAGCTCATATTATTAAGCACTTTAACATATTTTGTAACATATTTAACACTTAAACATATGTCTTATTACACTTAAAGTGACAAAAATTAAAATTTCACAGAAGATTTAAGAAGTAGACATAAACTTAACTCAGAAGTGAAACATCTGTTGCAAATACACTGTTCATAATATTTCAACTTTTAAATATTGGTTACCTGAATATGATTCTTATAAATATAGACAGGGGTAGAAAACTGTGTTTTTGGACCAACAGCATCACTGAAGATTATGATTTGTTCAAAAAGAAACACTTGTCTTTCCTTCATTTTGCCAGTTGACGGATCAGAAACTAATAACACGCCCTGCTGTAAAAGTTTTCCTTGTGCAGTTATTTTACCCTAAATAAAAAATAGTGTTCTAATTAAAAATACGAATGTAACCAAAATTCATAAAAATATTTCAGTGTTTTATTAAAAAGGAATGGCGTAACTTTTATGAATGGCAGCAATGTGAGTGCAAGAAGGCGTATATGAAAATAAATTTACAGAGGGTGTTTACCCATTTTTGTAATGATTTTGATTTTATCCCTGAATTTATATATTAATTTTACAATACAAATGTGACTAGCATCACATTGGAATAAGTTTTATTACTGCCTGCAGCATTAAAAATTTTTTTTTCTTTAACATGTCGCTGAAAAATAAACAATGGATCGAGGGCTATATTTCTGCGCTGTCCGAAGAGAAATACTCTTATTCAGTTATTCAAAAAAAGGCGTGAAAATCATGGTTTTAATATTTCTACACGTAAAATAAGAGACATAATTAATATGAAAGGAAAGCAACGTCAAAGTTTGTATCTGACTGGATGATTATGTCTTCTTTGGAATCGATCTCCATCTCTCAGCTAATTTCATTTTCGTCATCATAATTATGTTAAGCAGATGGCTGGTGATGGACCTGCTTTAAGTACTGCACCTGCAAAGTGGTTAATAGTAACTGGCTGATTTGAGATTAGAGACTTGCCTACAAGATCTGGATTTGGCAATAATTACTCTTCCGGCTGATTCATGATCATAAAGCAAATAATGCGGATTTCACTATTTATTTGAATGGGACCATTGAAGACAATTCGCAAAAAAATCTGTAAAAACTCAGAGGGTAATACAACAGTTTAGTGCATTCTTTCTACAAGGTATGGAGAATCGGGGATAAAACGTGAACGCAGAACTCGATGATGTGCAAAACTGCATTTCTGTTTGAAATAGATGAAGACAGTATAAGAAATACAGTAAACACATCAACACGTGTACCTGCTTTAGTTTTATTATACAAAATTTTATATACTTCAGTCAAGGCATACGCATGCCAAAGGTGATGTAAGAGTGCGTGTGCAAGGAGGAAGAACTTTAATTGTGCACATTAAAAATTAACATGAAAGTGTTGAATAAAGTACACAAGGGGCATTATTTTGAGATTTGCCTTATGTTAAAATTCGTCGACATGGCTCTGCTTCAGTCTCCTATCTGCATCTAAAAATATTAATTATTTAATTTACTTTTGCATGAAATTTTACAGGCTTTGTGTTTTCAATTACTTTATTTAATCGTAAAAATGTTTAATAAGCATGCATAATACGAAAAACTTAGGACGTTTCATCTTATGTGCATACATATAAATCTTCGATAAACAGAACAGCTGATCCTTTTTTTCCAGATCTTTCTCGTCTCCAGTTTACAAATCTTAAAACAACTTAGCCGACACAGCACATTAACAAAAATAATGCTACATTCATAGCTGGAATAACTTTGGTAAATTCTTATGCACAAATAGTAACATGAACTGAATATTAAAATACATAAAAGAAGAATGTCAGACAGATGCTCATAAACTACTACTGGTTATTACTAGAAACCACTTAGTGGGCATTTACATAAGAGATGCATTTGCGAATGATTGTATGAAACTGGCTCTTATTTTCAGTGCATATCGGAAAAGCAACTATATCACCTGTGAACCTAAGATATTCCACCTGTCAGCAACTGAACTCAGTAGCCACCTATGTTCTGAGGCCTTACTGACTGCTGAACACAATGTCTCAAAACAAATAGCAATAAGGGCCAAATGTGTATATAAATGTGTTAATTACAATTCTTGTTTAAGAAATATTATTGCTATTAATTTATCTGTTCTTGCTGCGGCAAACGTTCTAATTATTTTCAAAGGTCCCTGTGCATACATATATGCATGATTAAGTGTTATATCAAAGATTTATAAAATTTTAAGAATGACATCTTATTTTTCTTTTGTTTGCGAAACTGATAAGAATAATTAACTTTAAAAAATCAAATGATTAAAAACAAAATTTAATTTATTAAAGGCAAAAGCACACTACATAAATATTTCAGTTTATGATTCAAATTATCATAGCATCCCGAAAGGTATTTTGAACAGGAAGTCTTTATTACAAATTTTAACTATATCGGATTAAAACTATTCTTTCCAGAAACTGTTCAAAAAAATTTTTTATACATTCTCAATCATATTTCAGCTTATTATTCAACATTATATACAAATTACTCACGTCAAAGCCTTGCAGTCGACCTACATTCATCATGTCATTGGCAGATTTTGGAACAATATGCATAATTTGAACAGCTTTTCTTAGATTTTGAGCCTCTTCTTCAAGGCCTGCTTTTTCTGTATACTTCAAAATATCCTAAAATTAAAAACTTTACAGTAGCAATTTTCGACGAACACATGAATAAAAATCAGGGTTATATAAAAAACATGCATTACGAAAAGCGAAAAATAATGCTTATACAGTATCATACAATTATTTAGACAATAACAAATTTTTGAAATAAAAATTAATATATTAATTTCTTCATTTATTCTTATTCTTACTTTACAAATGTTTGTTGTTTTTCATTATTTATCTTTGTTCATGTGTGATACTTGAGATGTTTTATATGTTTGGATTGATATTTCCAATATAGCCATATGTAACATATTTGTATTAAACATAACATTTAAAATGGCAACTGCTAACTTGCCATTCAGAAATCAATACAATAATTCAGCCATATAATCCAATAGATTCCATTCTGACAGGCCATTCGAAGGACCACTGCGTCAGTCTACTGGCGTAGATGCGATGCAAAATTGCTTGAATATCTCACGCAGAATGTACGTGCACTCCATGAGTAAAGCACCAGAAATATCTTCCTGTGGCTGCGGTAAGTCGTGTTCCAAGAAATGAAGTTCAGCGTCCGATACCTCGTGAACTACGCGTTTCCCCGCTAGCATAATTCTTAAATGCACATTGGCATCGCAACCCTGGTTGGGGCTTCGAATACGGACCAATGGCCGTCTACTGATTTTGTGATGTCAAATCTTTAAAACCTTTTATTAACACCTTGTATTTGTTTCATAATATCAAACATGTATTTGTATCTACTTCAAGTTCTTTCAACCAGATAGTGAATCTTCACAATTACTTACATTTGATCTAATTTCACATTCAAAATGTTCACAAAGAAACCACGAAATTTTTTTTTGAACTGGACGGGGAAAATATCTCAGCCATTTTACTTTACGCGGGGCATAGATCAAAGAACACAACAGAAAATACTACTAGAAGGCTATTGGTCCTTTTTAGATGCTCCTCCACCTGTTGCGATACCGATGGGCAGATACGAATTACGCTTCTCGTCTGGGAAACTTGTGTATGGAAAAGGTTAATATATTACCTTACATTTGGGGCGAGTTTTATTCAAAGTCCAAATAAGCATTTTTGTTGTTAGTATATAACATCAAAGAAAATTAAATGTAGAAATTTAAATAAGTAATAACTACTTAAACAAAACTCGTGCAGTAAAAATCTTTGTCAAGAGAATTTCATGACAAGAAAAATAGCATTACGGGAAGTGTTTTTTAAAGCCTACCTACCTTTAGAAGCAACTGATATTTCATTATTCTTTGAACAGGCTTAATGAGTAAATCAGGCAACTGTAACTTATGTCCTAACTTTTGCCGAGCTTCCTAAAGATTTAAATATTTAGAAATTTAAAACATGAACTAAGTATCAAAAGAGCTTAATATATTAATGCTAAAATGAAAAAGAGATAGTAATAATGTTAAACATATAAAAAAGATCAATCTTTAACAAATAAAATCAATGATAAAATTGTTAAATTCAAGCTTAAAATGCATAGCTGTAATTTAACTGTTTGAGAAACGTGCAACTATACATACGATTTTATACAGGAAGCTGAATTTAATATTCTCATAATTTAAACAAAATAACACGCCGAACAAGTATTAATTTAGAAGTCAAACAAAATTTAGTGTTATCCATTTGCGCTTTGGCAGCTGAGGATGATGGTTCGGTGAAACCATCGAAGCTATTCCTACTATTCTTATGAAAATTATCCTCATAGTTTTTACCATTTAAATAAACACCAACTAATTCATGTGAAGATTTCGCGTTCTAACTAATAAGAACTAAAATGGTTCAAGAAATTGGTATCTATTTTTTCGAAATATGATCACGAGTAAAAGAAGAAATTGTGCAATATTCAAGAAGGTTTAATGCATTTTATAGGTGCTAAAAAGGACTGAAAGCCTAGCATACCTATGAATATTAATAACAAACAGGTAAAGAATGCTAAAGGAATTTCGACTATTATAATAATATCTTAGTTTCTCAAAATATGGAGTAAAATTTCATGAAGACAATGTATGGGATGAGATTCTACAATTTAAAAACAATGTGGATGGAAAGGGATTTTACATGTTCTCCCACAGACCAAATATTCCAATATTCCAATAATAAACCTTCACTATAATAAACTAAATACAAAAGGTCCATAACTTATAGCTTAAAATTTGCAAAGATATTAGAAAGCAAATTTAGAATTTTTCAGAAACTTTTCAATACCTCCTTATCAGAGACAGATTAAAGTTTTCCGTCCAAATTTAAGGGATAATTGTTTCATGCTGAGTAAAACATTTAGTTTTAACTTTGTAGGCTAACCCCATTTAACCACCTACCAATTATTAATATTTTCGGTAATTTCATATGTAGAAGGATGGAAATTTTAGTCTAGTTTGTTAAAACGCAACGAGCATTTTAGTGTTTTTGCTCTACAGGAATCAAATGAAAAGTTCAATTTATAATGAAATTTTCCTGCTCCCAGTACTGATACTTTCATAAAAGTCTCTACCCTATCTGAAGAAACACTGTAGTTCAAAATGTACATCTAGGCTCAATATTTAAGGAAAATGTTCGTAATTGGCGGTAGCGGCGCATAGTCACTTTTCTACCTTACGTGATGAAATATCGAAGGATCACTCTGCATGTGCTTGATATATATATATATATATATACACAAAGACGGTTTAGAGTAGCTATAAAATTTAATTGATAAATTATACACATTAAGACATTATCAAAAGTGAACAATAAATTGTAAAGTGAACTGTGTATTTCACATTTACAGGGTAATTTTAAACTCTCTCATACATATGCATATAAGGCCCGATATATTCGCCTAATTCTCAAGGGACACGCGCATTAATTGCGAGGAATGAAATCGGAAAACTGTTTTAAAATGTTGCGGATCTTTCTTTGGTATAATTCTTAAAATACTGATATTTTGAGTGTATAGAACGTTAAAAATGTTTTCAAAAGCATGCATTATTTATTACATTTGAAAATGAAGGCACATTTTAACATATACGCTCAAAATGCACATTAGGCTACAAGACTTTCTCCAACTCATAATTTCAACAAGAGAGGACTCATGGTCTAGTTTGCTATTGAGTTTACGTTAACTTTTGAGACTAGTAAAATGATACTATGCCATTAATTCGAAAAGCATCTAAAATATTCCAATGTGAATAATCAAATATCTAACTTGCTATTAATTCTTAATATTCTCCCAAATTTTGAAAAGGTGATTATGAAGCTAAATATACGCAAATCATAGTTACGAACTGAAAACTTTATTTTTGTAGAGAAGTTTCCTAATTGTTTCTGCACAAGGCTGGCCGGTATTAACTTTTAATATCTGACTAGATGCATTTTTTTTCGTACTGGAGTACTTTCAAACACACTTTCGAAATAACAGCATTGTAATTACTATAATCCAGAGACTCGTACTGGTTTCAGGTTTCTTAACCTCTTAACGACTGCGCCCGAGATATCTCGGGAATAAATGCAGTTTCGATTTTCCTATGAACGAGCTAAGTCGGGGGCTGAAAATTTTACGTATGTTAAATGTCATCACCCGTAATATCGCGTGGAAATCGACACTCTGCCATGCACATGATTTATTAGCAGTGGGGGGGCTATACTTATTAGCAGTAGCAAGCGACTTTTGTGATTATCCGCTCGAAGTTATTACCCTCGAGCAGTAATGGCCGTATTTATTCTGCAGACTATGATGTGGCGGTATTATTCTGCAGACTGTGATGTGGCGGTATTATTCTGCAGACTGTGATGTGGCGCTATGTGTTACACCATGTTTCAGACTGTACCATACTGTCAATGACATTTATAGATCGTAAAATGTATTTACTTGGTTTTTACTTTAGCTCTTATTACCTAGACTACAGTTCTGTATTACTTTTGGCTGCTTCATTGAAGCCCGAGTTAACTCTATAATTTCATGAACCATAATAGATATCTTGTTTTCTTAGCGAAAACATTGTTTCCCCCCTTACAAAGCTACATCTAGTGAACTTTTAGTCTTTAGATAATAAAAATGGTATAAAAAGCAGAGATTTTCGGCATAATTTTTAATATAAATTCGATCATTAAGCGGTTAAACATTCATAACAGCTTGAAGCAAAAGATCTGCAACCTGAAGTAAATATTGTCGTGAAGAAATAACTCCAGTTAACATTTTAGAGGCAAATTTCCAAGGAATTCAAAAACGTTTTACTGATTTGAAACATTGGCATCACTTTTAGAGATGACAAAAACAACAGCAAATGAACAGTTAAAAAAGTATTGACTTAAAATACTTTACTGCATGCTTGTATGCATACACATCGAATGATATATCCTGAAGTATTAAGTTTTGAAATAAAGATATTCAATATTGTTAGAAAACACCAAACAGACAAACCGCTTCTTTTAAGCTAGCACATGGCTAAATATTACTCCAACTTATTAATAGTAAATAAGAGGGGACACACATTGGAAATGAAGTAGCAATTCCAATACATTACCATGCATGAACTTTTACACACCTAAAACTCTACAAAATATTTTACCGCTGAATCAATAAATCATGACAAGCTAATTAGGTGAACTTTACTGATATTTTACTAATTGATACTTCGTAAAGAGTTTTACAATTCATTTTGTACTAACTGGTAATTTTCATCAAACTGGCCATTTTAAAAAGTAAAAATTTTTACTGAAGAGAACTAAATTTAAATTATAGTTAATTAACATAAGAAAATGGGAGAAATAAAAAAAAACATGTACCTCAAAGAATGTGTCAAGATATTCAGATACAATATATTCGGATTTCGGTTTGTTCTGGCAGTAAACAACATACATGTTTAGTCGTCTTTCATACCGCCGAAACAGAAGACCTAACCGCTGCGGCTCTTCTAAGCACTTCTCAATTTCAGCACAAAACGAACTGAGAAAACAAGAAATTAATGCTCATTTGAAAACCAAGTTTACTAAAAAAATCCTACATAAAAATGAAATTAAAAAAATCTTAAGAATATTTAAATATAATAGTTTAAAACACTTATAAAAATTAGCATGCAATGTTCAAAAGTAAAATATACGCGTGGCAAGTTAATTTTATTACCAAGGAAAAGATTAAAATGCATTGAAATAAATAACACAAAATGTATATTTCTAAATAGCAACAACAATAAAATTTTTCAACATACACAGTTTTGTAAATCATTAGTTCAAGATCAAACATTAAAAAAATTACATAAGAAGTATTTGATGTTAATTAAAGCTAAATGAACTTTATCTCTACAATAATAGATCTTAACAGTGATACGGCATAAGACAATCTAAAGTTTCAGAAAATGAATAAAAAAATAATTTTTTTTTCATTTGACCTCTTTCTTTTCCCCTTAATTACTGATTTTCTGAAATAAAAAATGGTATTCATCTGATTCTCAGCTTCATTTGTTCAACAGACATTATTCAGTACTTTACTAAAAGAAAGGCCCAAGAGGAACTCTAACAATTTGAACTATTATTTCATATCTGACGAAATTTACAAACTGTTTTAGTTTAAATAAACTTCAGTTTTATATATATAAGGCAACATGCTTTACAATTTATCATTTATGCCATTAATTTCCTTCTACTAAATAAAATGACTAAACATTTGGTAAGAACTCACAATATGTGAAGAATCTTCGAATCATCACAATAGCGAATAATTTTTCACGTAAATCTAGCATAATAATGAAAAGAAATTCCGTCATAAGAGATAGTCCTTAATCTTTTCGTGATAATTAACTATTATTAATCAATCTCATCTACAACCACGCAGCATATTCTGATGAATGTCTACTATGTTTATGTTACATTCACACAAGTTCATATAATACAAGTTCACACAAGTAATAGGCAAGAAAAGAAGCAATAGTGATCGTTTCACATTTCAAAATTAATTCTAGCTACGTGCTTAAAAATACAAAGTAATCTGTTTAAAACCCCACACTCACGCATGGTTATCAGTCTTATCTACATTTCTATTCAATGCCACAAGACATAAAAAAGAGTGTAATTCTCAGCTTATGCAAGTCAAAGAATAAACTAGGAAATTATAACAACCTTAATTTAAAATCTGCCTTTGTATTTCATTTACTGTTTCAACTGAGAAGTTGGCAGTTGTATGATATTAAATTATAAGTGCGTACGGTCAGTTATAGATTCAACGCACACAGAATCGATGATAGCTTGATAAAATACAGATAGAACCGAAGATAGCTTTATCAAAAGGAAAACCTTACAGTTCTGGAAATTTAAACAAAAATACGCGTACAGTTCTTCTCAGTGGCACATAGAACAATCAGTAGTCTAACTTGACCAGGGAAATAAGATCTGCAGGAAATGTAATACCGACCATGTCACTCCTGGACATCTTCTCACCTGTTTGGGACTTGCAAAAGAGGACCAATTGAAAATACCTACCTTCGTATAGAAAATATTAACGGCTCTCGGACTCGTGAATCTGATCTAGCCTAATGGCTAACCAATTAGGATCAGCAGCAATAACAACACAATCAGTAGTTACACTTCAAATAATAATAACGCCGGACGCAACGTAATGCAAAGTGCATCTAAACAGCGAAGCTCCCACGGATATATTTCAAAATTCCTAAGTCGACTATGAACTGAAAAGCTGAGAGCTGATACTCTCTCTGGTCTTACATAGTTTTACCCCGAGATATCTCTAGTACCCTCCATTTCTCGAAATTACTGGAAGTTACTTATAAGGGCCGAATGCGGTTACACATAAGGATCCATTAGAGTCATTCATTTGCAGCATCAATTAGTTATACGGAGACCGGATCAAAATGTCGCCAAGCTTGGTAACTTTTGCCAATTTCTTGCCTAATTTGGTGACAAAAATTAATCTCCAAAACCGTCGCCAGCTAGGAGAAATCTTGCAAATTTACCGAGATGGACATTTCCTTCAATGTCAAAAGACTTGTCCCAGTAATTTATTTTTCCAGCAGAGCTTCGACTCTTCATATTTCCATGCTATATTATGCAAAAGATACTATAATTGTAAACATAACTTCGCTAAAATTATTTACACATCTACAAAAATTCATAACAATATTACATTAGAAGCCATTATATTCTTAAAAAATAGCTATGAAAATTCAGCTTTCAACAAAGATTAATCACAAATAAAAAACTGAGTGAAAGTAATATTTAAGTAGCTTGCATATGCTCATAACATTTACATGAAATGATTTCAGTACTAAAGCTAAAGAAAAAAAAAACCTAGACATACTCTCGATGCCATTCATAAATTGCTTCAATGTTTCCAAATACTATCTTATCTTTTCCGTTTTTGAGATCTTCTGGAACAGGAATTTCTTCATTTCTCATCAACTTCAGGTAGCCCTGTTAAAAATGATTCAGTAAGAAGTCAATAAAAAATACGGTAAAAATGGACCTGCTCAAAAAAACAAGTTCCAATTTTTTTATTAACATACTTTCATGAATGGCCTTTTTCAGTTTATTCGTATAATGTACCTTGAGAAGAATGAAAAGGAAACAGTAAAGCATCAAAAACTATAAAATTCATCTAGTACATAGATCTAATATTAAATACCTTTGATAGTACAAAATGTGAAACAGATCTATCACAAAAATTTCATACTTATTAAAGGTTTCTATGTTAATTGATTACGTAAAGGAACATGAGCGCTATCTGTCTAAGGGGAAGAATGCCTTTATGGATGAATTTCTAAGGGAAACTGTCTCGTATTGACGTTACAGATGGGGAAATTCAAACATGACCATGCAACCAAACCGTTCGCCTAGGATCGAACTCGAATCAATCTCCCAATATTCAGCGGTCTTAACCACTCGGCTACTGGTTACTCTTCATTGGTCACCCGGCTACTATTTGAGTACAGGAAATCAAAATACACGCAATACAAAGTTCTTACATGCAATGTTATATTAAATTGATTTTAGTATTCGCTGCATTTTTAGCCAATTAGAAAATCAATGGCAGGCAGTAATTGCCGTTGCATTATTGGCCGCAAGTCTGTTTAGATACCGAGGTCGTATACATTTGTCTGTTTTCCCCAGAATTAATCAGATAGAGTCCTTAGGGTTTCTGTTTAATCTAGAAATCTAACAACTGTTTTTCAAACCATCCCTGGTTGACACTAGACCGTTGGAAAAAAGTATTGTTCTGCTTAAATAACCCCCTCCCTTTCAACAGGTTCAAAAGCTATGAAAAATATACATATGACCAGCCTGCTTATTCCGCTAGCACACAAAACGTACATACTTGTAAATCCGTTAATAAACTCGATACATCCCATTAGATGACTTCACTATCACACAGCCATTATTGCCTTGAGTTTTATGCGCTAACTATAATAGTGATTTCATTTAGACACAGACCTAATTTTCAATTATCATAACACTCAAAAGGAGCGAGTTCCTGAGAATTCGAGTGCTTTTTGGGTCTACGACATATGGCGATTAACAGGTTCATCATATGCTCATCAAATGAAATGTTTGTGCAGGGAGGTCCTTTCACAAAATTATTTCAAGGTTTGTTCAATGGTAAATGGCTGAAAAAGCTCTCCATACTGTACATACATATATAGGAAATCATTCTCTCTGATGAAGTCTACCACCAATGTTGCAGTTAAATTACAAATAAAAACAGAACACATTTTAATTTGCAATATTACAAATGGTTATGCACACAGTAAAAATAACTTTGAACTTAAAAAATTTCATTAATTGTTTCATCATAGTTGAATTTTTTACTTAAATTCTGCTTTTCACTTTATATGAAATTCTGCAGTTTCATCAAATATAGTATTTACTAATTTGTGATTCATCAGCTCCAAAATGTAATTCTCTGTGCGATTCACGTTTTTGGCATATAGGCCAAAATCTTGCACTCGCGCAGAATACTAAAAATGTCCTTAAAGTATTTACTTAGAATAAATACGCATGTAAAATAAAAATTTAGTATTTACTTAAAAAAGGATGCAACTAGATTTCTTTTCACTATTCTCAGTATAATTTTTACAAATCGTTTAAAAGTGAGAATCGTATTATCCCATATTGATGCCCTAAAGAAGATTATTTATGACAAAGCAATCGACGGCTATCTTCCTAAGGGAAGAGATGCCTTCATGGAGGACTTTAAGGGAAACTGGCTCGCATACACGGGGAAAATCACGAAAACGCCCGTGCAGCCAGCCCGTTTGCCGGGATTCGAACTCCGCACCGAACTACCCGAGTTCAACGACTTGAACTCGGGTAGTTCGGTGCGGGCGCTGGTGAGAAACCAGAGAAGAAAAACTAAGAACACGAAAGAAACAGGTCCCAACTGTGATAAAACACCAAATATCAGAAAAACGGCTTTCAGTTTAACGTCAGGTTAAGAGCCACCACCCGTTTAATCAAGCATGAAGAAAATTGTTAAGTGCTTATACTATAGGAATAGAATTCATGCTAAAAATGTTCCAACATGCATCATCATTTACGACAAGGTTGAAACTACAACTACAAGGTATAAAAAAAGTATTCGTCTACTTCCATTAAGATTATTTGTGAAGCACAGACTTAATCTCTCATTTCTATGTCACATCTGAACACATACATTATAAATATTTAACCTTTTCATTCTAATGTCCAAATAAAAATGTTTCTTGCATTCGTTACGAAATAAAAATTCTAAAAAGTGTTAGTCGTTTATTATTTTTTATTTCTTTAAATTTACACAGCAAAATTTAATAAAATTATACTTGCCCTAGGTGACTAATTTTGGATGAACAATGCAGTATGGTAGAAAAAATATACTTTTATAACTTCAATCGAAATTTTAGATTTAAGATTATCTATATTTATTTAAGTTCATGTTTCGAACTTTATTTTCCAGATATTAGGCCCTTCTTTTGCATGCTCGGATTCCAGTCCTCTGTGATAGAAAAAATATACAATGGGAGAGCAATATATAAGTATAAAATATTTTATCGAATTGCCGATATTTACAAGAATCTATTTACAATGTTCTAAATTTACCAAAACTGACTATGACATGTGCATGCAGGAATAAGTGTACTTTTCATAATTAGCAGTCCACAGCCACACTGTACTGTGATTCCTCGTGTATTCTCCCTCCGTTTTTAAACCAAGTTTACCGTCCAAATATCGAGAGAGGACAATTATGCGAGTAATTTAATTTCCGAAGAATGCAGTTACAGTAAGAATATAGAAAACTAAAAGTCACGGATAAGCTACTGGTAATAATTAAAATATTTATTTAGCATAATCCTACGTTCCACTAAGAATATATAGTAATACTAGCTTTACAATATCTGACGGTAATTGAGCCGGACATTTCGCGCAGCCGGTTCAATTACCATGTGAAGCCCCAGGGACAACTCACATGACTTGACACACCTCCCGAGAAGAAAACGGGAGAAGGAAGGCGAAAAAAGACAAAGACCTGGATTTCAAAAGCTCGAACACATCAGCAGTAGATAAGACTACAGTGAACTGGAACATAAATAATAGAAGTAAAGTTAATTCACACATGTTCTGAAAATTTTTTTAAGTGTGAGAATTCCTGACGCGTCAGGGTAACTTAACGAAGAATCTGTACAAAATACGCTTGAAATAATAAATGCAAGGGTAAATAAAACGGATAAAATGCTAAGACAAAAATACAAATATGGAAAAAATAATCGAAGAAATACGGTATAAATCTTCTGGAGAAATTAATCGTAGAATTTGTTAACAACTTTCAGTATGTTTAAATACGGAAAACATTCAAAATTGTGCGTTGCTCTTGAACTGTCGTGGGTCTCGTCTTCACTCTTAACAGAGTCTAGCCAATCATGATCTCGTATGGTCACCATGTACCGAATATCAATCGAACAATTTTTATTAAATATCCGAAGCAGATGTAAAAAACTTAAATAACTTCACATGTTAAGCTAATGCGTATAGTAATAAACAAATATACTAGAAAACACATTACGTTAGGTTAATTGAAGGTTATATTAGTTGATTGAGGTAAAGGAGCTCAAGAGTATCTGCCTATTGAGAAGGATGCTTTAAAGAGAAATAGGCTCGTATCTACGTTGCAGACGGGAAAAACCATGAACAATCCCACGCAGCCAGCCCAGATTCGAACCTAGATCGAACTATCAGTGTTCAGCAATTTTACCGCCGGCCGTTGGGTCTGCAGATTATTGCAGGTTCTGGTTTAGTTAATTTTGAGTATGGTAACTCGAGGTTTCTCTGCCTAAGGGAGAAGATGCCTTCGTGGAGGACTTTCTAAGGAAAACTGACTTGTTTTGACGTTACACATAATGAAAGTCCCGAGCAGCCAGATTGGACTACCAGTGTTCCGAGACTTTACTGCTCGGCCGCTGGTGAGCCAGATGATTGAACGATTTGTATATCAGTAATGCATTCTCAGTTGGTTAATTTTCACTGTGATATAGTATGTACAAAAGAAAGATACGAGTTATATGCAACATCTCTTGAGATGATTATTATTAGCTTTGACTTGAACATGTAAACTAGAAATTCCATCGCTCTATGTCGAAGCGTCAATAATGTGTCATCAAAAATGGCATCCTTTTTAAGATAGTCACACCCTCCTTTTAAACATAGTATATATTCAATTAAAATTATAATTAATGGAAGGATGAAAGTACTAAATTCTTTAAATTATTAAGTGACACAATATTGTATTAAAATGGAAATGAAAAGAACGCTTTGGAAAGAAGATAAAGATTACATAGATAAGTATGCGCTGCACAGACTATCTTCCGAAAAGGATTTCTAATTGATGACAGTTCTTTAGTTATAAAAGGGGGAACATACATCGGAAGCCGGCGCTAGGCATTTTGCCACCAGTGGGTACTAATTTCACGCACTGGTGGCAAACATGCATGCATTAAATGCAACGCATTTTAATGCCTACGGGTACTAATTTCTGTTGCGCGGTGCCTTCTTAAATTTTGAAAATGTTTCCGACCTTAAACTGTGGCTCACTGCTTGCCCTATTATATTAAAAATTTTGCTGCTGAGTGCTTCTCTAAATTAAAAAAATTTTATTTGCCCCCTAGTGAAGACGCCTAGTTTGCCTAGTGAGGCTGTACCGGTTCCGGCGGCAGCCCTGCATTTTATACATCATAGATGGACGTACTTGCTTACACGTGGCGTTTACAAGGATAGAGCCCTTTTTACGCGAGTGAATTAAATAATGAAGAATAAAATAATTTGAATAACACAGATAGATAAAAACAACAACGACAGACAACGACGCTTGGGTTCATTTATCACGGGTGCTTAACCTGATATTCTATATAGAAGAAAAGGATGTGACAGTTTACCGACGCTAGATGTTGAAATGCTGAATGAAGAATTTTTAACGTAAAATTACGACATAAATTAGTTTTCGGCATAAATTAGCTCGCATAAAGCTATGCGTTAATTTTGGCTAGATAAAAAGGAAAGAACGGAGATTAAATGAAAAATTTTAAATACTTACATCCACAGATACAGAAGATATTTACATATGAGAAGATAAGTACCTATTCAAGGAAACTTCGGCGTTTTACGAGAGCTTTTCATGTAGTGAATTGATGTAAATAGGCCATATATTTTTAGAGTTACTCACTAAAAGTACGATAAAATTTGAAACTGTATGCTTAGAGTAAAATACTAACTAAGTAGTATAACGTACATGAGAAGAGGAATACTTAATCTTTACAGGTTATATTCAAACAATAAAATTTAACTTACCTCAACTAAGTAACCCAGATCTCGAACGTAATCTTTTTCTGTATTAACCAGTTCCTGAAGAACAAACCTGTAAATCAGATAGTCTTGTAGAATATTCGTATGCAGTCAATAATGTATACCCTTTACCCTTCAAAATGTCTGCATACAGCTAACAAAATAATCCACTCATAGAATATAAAGAAACATTACGTTAAGGATTTAATGAATAAACTGTACAACTTACTTTCGCTTGATTAATGCTTTCTCATGCTCTTCGTCTAAACATACTTGTGGATCATTCATTTGATCTGCAACTTCAGAAGAGCTACCTTCATTTGATATTTCATCCTGCTCTTCAGACTTCTCTAAAAGCTAAAATAAATTTTGATGATAGATAATACAATTAACTTTGAAGCAATATTTTGATAATTTTAATTATTAAACAACTTAATTATTATACTTACGCTAAATTTTATGTACCTAGTAATAATGCATACCATTACATTTTGGCGACACCTATGCATGTTTAAAGTAGTGAATTAGATTAGCTGATTGTGGCGAAGCACACTAAGGCTATCTACCTATGAGAAAGGGATGCCATCCTGGAGGACATTCTAAGAGAAACTGACTGCTATTTACATTACACCTGAGGATAATCACGAAAACCCCCATGCAACTAGCTTGATTCTCGGTATCGAAACCCAGCTCGAACTACCAGTTTTCAACAGTCTTACCCTCTCGGCCACTGTTCGGCCTGTTATAAGCAATGAAAACAATAAAATGCTGCCATTCTGAGAATTTACTGTTTGCGAAATGAAATACGCGCAGTGTTTCATAAATAAAAAAACTTACAAGTACATACCTCTTCAATAGGCTGTCGTATTCAAGGTTCCAGTTTAAAAAAAAGTAAATGAAATAAGATGGGCTTCCAGTTTCCGACAATTTTATTCATATGAAACCTTTCAGTAAAAACAGTAGTTTGAAAATCCCACTTTCTTAAATTCATTTGTTGAATTTGATCCATGATATTTCAAAAGACATTTAGTTATGCAGTATTTTGAAAACGCTCAGCATGACTATAAAAGTAATGATAGACTTAATTTTAAATTAAAATGTTATACACACATAAATAAGAGGCAATTATAAAGCGCTTTTACAACAGGTATTATGCTTTAAAATTGACAATAATTGAAAAAGTACAGAACACTTAAGTCATGGGTGTCTAAAGTGTGGCCCAAAAGCAAATTACGAAAGTATTTAAATTTACACATTTTTATTAAAAAAATAAATGTTTGAATTTGTTTCATATATAATAGATTCGTTGGCATTTATTTTAAAATAAAAATTTAAACAAAAACATCTTCGTATGTCATGATGTATTAACTGCAAAGCGACATGCATCTGAAAGAAAAATTTGAAAATGTTTTACTAGAGTTTTATACAGTAGATTACCTATCCCGCGATAAATATCCTAATTTTCCCAATCATGCTTTATTAATGTCTTAAGCTTTTGGCAGTACCTATATATTTGGCTATCTGCCAATATATAGGTACAGCCAAAAGCTGAATTGAACAATTATTTTCAAAAATAAAGCGTACAAAAAACAAAAATAGGACAAAGATCACTGGTAAACATCTCGAAAATGCATTAAGAATTGCAACCTCGTCTATTGAACCCGATATTGATTTGCTTGTTCAACGAAAGCAAATTCATCCATCTCATTTATTTGAATTTTTTCAATCTATATGAAATCCAAACTAAACGAAACTTTTACAAATTAATAATAAATATGTACCTATACATATCTAATTGAAATTAAAAAATTAATAAAACGAAGGTAATTTATTTTAATAAAACAACCTAGAGCTAATTTTTATTTCAATTTGTTAAAAAATATTGTATGTGTGGCCCCGCAATTTTTTTTCCTTTGCAATGCGGCCCCGCAAATTTTTTTCCTTTGCAATGCGGCCCTCAAACGTCATAGTTTAGACACCCATGACTTAAGTGGTCTTTAATTCATTAAAACAGAAAGAATATTTTACTAATTGAGAGTTTGTTATACTTTGATCTTGGAGATAAAGACTTTATTGCCACACAGCCCTCCATGCTTAATTAGGTTTTTCTCTTTTCTTATTTTCAGTTCTTTGCTATACTGCAGGTTGTTTCTTTCACCGTTTTGCTTTCATAATAATTTTATGAAAAAAGAGCAAGATATAAAACGACAAATCTATATTTAATACATTATTACGTGCGTACGGTTCGTAACGAACAGAATACACAGAGAACCGATGACAGCTTGATAAAATTTGTTTTCCCAAAAGAAGCACTTTACGGTTCTGTAACTTTTCACAAAAGTACTCGTACAGCGCTTTTTAGCTTTTAGCATCACAGAGCACAATCAGCAGTTACACTTCAAAACTAATAAAAACGTTAAACACAAAACAATGCAAAGTGCATCTGGAGAGCGAAACTCGTACGGAGCCTTCTCAATACTCTGAACTCAGACTGAGAACTGATGCCCTCTCCGGTCTTAAAAGCTTTTCTCCGGCCGCCGGGCAATTTCTAGTACTTAACATTTCTCGAAATTACTCATATATGGTTAAAGTTATATATAACGGCCGGATACGGTTATACTAGTTACATAGGTATTTAGGCCAATTATAGTTATACAGAGATCGGACCAAAACGTCACCACGTTTGGCGACTTTTGGCAATTTCTCGCTAAATTTGGCGACAAAGTTGCCAAAACCGTCGCCAGCTTTACGATATCTCGCCAATTTAGCAAGACAGCCATTTACCTCAAGGCTAAATAGACTTGCGCCTGTAATCTTATTTTTCCAGTAAAGCTTCACATTATTACTTTATATATTTTTTACTTCATACTTTTTTACTTTAAATTCACTTTTATACAAAATTCTGAGCCCCTTGAGAAAGAGCTTAGCTGAATCAGTCTTACATTATTCTTTTATGCTTAATTTAGGACCACTAATAATTTAATATTTTTTATTCACAAATTTATTTTATTTAACTATTTAAACAATGTTTTTATTCACAAATTTATTTTATTTAACTATTTAAACAATGTTTCGTAATTTTGGTATATTAATGAGGTAGTCTACAACAAATAAACATGGTACTCGTTAAGAAATAAATACTAAAAAGCATACATATATATACATATTTATTAATGTCCAGTTTTCTTCCGAGACTATGCATTAAAGCTCTGAGAAAAAATTATTTTGAATGTTCCGAAACAAAATAAACTAAGCTCACTCTATTGCAACATAATTCATTTCGAGTGAGCAGAATGGGTAATGAAGACTAAAATTATTTTATGTTTATCAAAGGCTCGAAACACTATTACTTAAAATTACGAAATGTGACTTTTAAACTATTTTCTTATAAATAACTGAAGGAAAAAAGCAATTCACTGAAAACACAGATTTTTGTTAACTCATTAACTTTAAATAAATTCAAATTGAGATCATATTTTACGGCTTTCGCTAGTTTGAAATTATTTATTTAGGACTATTACCACATTTCCTGGAGAAGACAGTTCGCTTGCATTTTCAACAGACTCAACAGCAGTACTAGTCTCTACACTGGATGTCACATCTGGAGATTTCTCCTCTTCATGAGTAATGAATACATTATCTTCATTTTCATTTACTTCTGTTTGAATCTATCAAAAATCCGTAATCGTATGCAATTTATTGCCGATATGTGAAGCAGAATGGTATTAATAAAAACATTGGACAATGGAAATAACCTATTTCAGAAATACGAAATTTGCCTTACTTCACTGTCACACTCTTCACTAGCAGTAGTCAGCGGTGGTCCAGGCGATGAAGTCTTATTTCCCATCTCTTCTTTACTAATCACAACCTACAAAAAAAATTGCAGATACGGTCATTGTTATTATAATAGTCAATCATGGCACAATCAGATGGACTTCACTATATTAAATCTCGTTTTATTGAGACTGCCTAGAAAATACTTTGGTGCTTACAAGAACCACTTTGAAAGAAATTGCATACACAAATAATAATATAGCACATCAAACTGCTTTTAGTACAAGGTTTATTTTAATTAACACGTTAGTTTGTTATGATAAATCTTTCTTGTATTTTGTAATGTAATACTTTGAGAAGTCTTTAATCATTACCATTCCATTTCAGTATTATGTCATGAGTTTCAGTTAATAATCTGATACAGTGCAATAAATACTTAAAAACTTCATGCTTTTTCAGTCATCTATAAATCACATTAAAGGGGCATTTAATGTATAATTGTTGCAAAGGTAGGTGAACTTAGGAGAAAAAGGAGCTGCACTTGCTAGATTAAAGGGCCTACGGTAGGGGGGAAGGACCAATTACAAAACGATGCAATGAGACAAATATGGCTAAACTATATACCGTATTTCCCTCACGTACTTTATGCCCAGCTTTTCAGCGCCAAGTTCTGAAAACTTTAAAAATGTTTCCCTAATTTTCCTCTTCCTCAGTGTGCTTAGAGAACGAGCTCCCCTAAGCTATTTTAAAGTTGATTCGTTCTTCGTGATTGTTTTTGTCTTAATCATATATATATATATATATATATATATATATATATATATTATATATATATATATATATATATATATAAAAAAAAAAAAAAAAAAAAAAAAAAAAAAAAAAAAAAACCTTTGCAAAATTCCTGCGAAAGTTATGCCGAGACTTCCCCTTCCAAGTACTGAACTTTATTCTAACCTGGGAGAGAAAACCCGATTAATCTCAGCGATGCAAATACGAACTGACATTCAGTCTGAGCTTCCGCCTAGTCAGCTGGACATTCGCCTTCTCTAATTACTTACGGATGATTTGAAACATAAGGAGCAGCAAAGACAATAATAACGACAGGCGAAATTCAAGTTATAGGGAAGTAGAAATGAAGATATTTCATTAGATATTGCACTGTTAATATTACTATGTATTCTTACTGGAATGCAAGTTTTTCACTAAAGGAATAATATTATAACAACTGTAGTTTATGCATGATTACTTTTCATTTGCAATTTTGTTACTGTACAGCGTAGTTTGGAAATTAAATTATTCACATAACTTTCCTATCTCGATTTTTGGAGGATAAAATTAGTATATAAAAAAAGTGAAAATACGCAACAAAATATCTTAGATAAGAGTTCTGACACTAACAGTTTGATGCAGGTTCTGATTCCAGCGAATGGACAAATTGCATGACCACTTTCATGATTTTCCATATCCGTAGCGTTAAGTATGAGCCAGTTTTTTTAATAAACTTTTGCTTCCTCTTTAAACAGAGAGCCCTTGCGGTCTTTGTCATAATTGTTTAAACAATAAAGATTTACATTCACACAAAAACACAAATTTCTTCTCTCGTCAACCTGATCGATTCTGGCTATCCTATCGTTGGGCATGGGCTCGAATCTTGCAGAAAGTTAGGTGTAGAAGGATGGGAGACTGATAGATCCATTCCCTAGGGATTTTCTTTCAAAACTGGGATGAAGCTGAGCAAAGTTGTAGTGTCACCTAAAGATGCCCAAGGCCCATGCTACCGACAGACGCAATCTTGCAGTGCTCTCCAAGACAAAATTCGTGGACCTGTTCTGTCAGACAAGCGAGATAAGTCACTAAAAGAAATCAACAGATTCCTCTGTGAGCTGTTCCCTCAAAAAAAAAAAAAAAAAAAAAAAAGTTTATTTAACGTCTTGTTGCTATATAGTGAAATAAACTGAATAACTGAAAACGTTAAAAATATAAGAGATGATAACATATTTAAATGCTTCATAGTTATAGAAAATTAATCCATGCCAGAAATAATTACGAGAAAAAAATGTTCTGCAGCCGAACGAACAATAAATTTTACTTCCAAACTAAAATTCTAAAAGGTTTGTTAATATTCTTATTATTTGTTAATATTCTTAGTAACATCGTATCGACTTACATTAATACAATATATGTTACGGATAATAATAATAAGCATGATGCTGTAAGTGTGATACTGACTTGTTATATCAAATGATGACAGGAAAGGCAAGTTAAAACAATTCGAAATATAAAAGTTTGTCCTTCAAATTTTTGCTGAAAGTAACATCGGATGAACTTGCTTTAATACAATAGCTGTTAGGATTATAATAAGCATGATGCTATAAATATAATATTCAGTTGTTACATATAAAATGATGCCAGGGAAGGCACTAAGAAAACTTCAAAATATAGAAGTTTGGCCTTCAAATTTGTGCTCAACAATTTGGTAATAAATAATCAGGCAATTCATAATGAATCAAGAAAACAGTTTGGGAATCGGGGGGAAATATGTGTTTGACCACATGCATCTAAACAATTAATAGTGATCTACACGATTAAATCTTTATCTAGAGAAAGTGATTTAATCTACGTTACGAAGTGCAAAGCAAAGATGGAAATGCACGGCAAATAAGGCACACTCCCTCAAAAAAAAAAAAAAAAAAAAAAAAAAAAAGACAGCGAGAAGAAAATATCAAAAATTTGCAAAATAACTTAAGGAAAATACCGTAATATTCTATGAAGACTGTAATATCGAAGATATCCTAAATATACACCAAGAAAGCCCTATTAGTTGCAAATAAAGGATCCATGTTAAACTGCTTTTCAAAATAAATTTATAAATTTCAGACAATTCAGTGTGCATTAATTCAAGAAGTAACAGTAGAAGCATGAATTCTGTTAGAATAATCAATACCAAAAAGAATGGCAAAACTAAATGCAGTTTCACTCTACAGTCTCAGTGCTTTATGAAAAATTCTAGCATAAAAATCAGAAGCGAAAGTTTATGCTATTTTATAAATTGCATAAGCCAGTTTAAAGTACCTACTACAGGAATTCTGACAGTGTAGCAATAATAAATATCTACCGAAAGATAGTCGAAATACTCTGTACAAGAAAAGATAGGTAAAACTAAAAATAAGCAAAATGTTGATTTATAAAGTGTCTTTAATTTTCCATAACTAAGCAACACTATAAACATTTATCCTAGGGAACAGAGAAATCATAAAACACAAGGATAATAACCTCAGATATAAAGTGGAAACAAAAAGTTTAAAGTACACAATAGTTTTGAAGAATGCTTTTTGTTCGCCGGATACCAAATCGCTGCGCCAAATATTCAACTCCCGACTCGTAGTATATTGAAAATGTTAATCTATACCTTTTGTCTTACTAACGAATAAAGACTTTTTTTCAGCTGCTTTCTAAAATTTATTCAAGATTTTGTTGTTCTTTTTATTCAATTCAGTGTCGACATTGATTGAGCTAGGAATAAAGTTGGCTTCAGTGCAATTTACATAACCCTGTTACTTCTCTTTGACGATTGCAAAAAGTTTCCAGCTGTTATTCAGAAAAATACCAGCAGTGTGAAAAATGGCTGCATGCAATACACTTAGAAGAGTAAAAATAGCAGTAAGCAGGAGCGTATCGATGGGGGGGGGAGAGGCTTCGAAGAACCTTAAATATTTAAGTATATGTACCTAATGTAGGGCTATGAAAAGGACGAAACTAAAAAGTGGTCTGCATTAAAATATTAAATTTGTAGGGGAAATGGAATTCCTAGAAAAATTCCCTAACTTATATGTGGCATTGAAGACTTTTGTGACAGTGTGTGTTTCAGTTGCCTCTTGCAAGAGAAGCATTTCATTTTGATTAAAATAAGTTTGATTAAAATAAAGTGGATTAAAAGCTATCTTCGATCACCAGTCAGCCAAGTAAGAATGAAAGGCTTGGCAGTCATTTCAGTTGAAAATGCAGAAACTAAAATTAGCTTTTATGAAATTATAATAAGTTTTTAAGAAGTCAAAGCTCGCAAAAAGCAGTTAGCATTTTTTATTGACGGAAAAGTTAAAAATACTTTTTAAATCATAAAAAATGGCAGATTAGTAAGCTTTTTTAAATACATGTGTCTGCCAGATTTAAGTTGCGTTTTCCTATAGTCTTAAGATTTTTTGTTTTCCAAATAATTTAATTAAATGAATTTCAATTAATAAATGTTAATTATATATTTGTGTTGACATTTTATATAGTAATTATTCCAATATGAAGGACAACAGGGAGATTTCCGCTCCGGACCTCGATAGTTGTAGGTCTGCCAGTGGCAGTAAGCCATGATATATTATTATTTTCAGAGTTTATTTGCACTTTTTTTATACATTATGAAGAATTAAACAACTAAACAGCTTAGATAAATTCTGGGGGTATCATAATTGGAATTATCAGATAACCACAAAAATTCTATCGCTTTTCAGTATTGTTCATTGTAAAAGTCCATATGATTGTGCACAGGTCACATATTGGCATGCATTGGTTGGTTCACAGGTAAGGACTAAATGGAAATTTTAGAATTTCCCTTAAATAGCCTTTACTTGTGAATTCAAAATTTAAATTTTTTTTTGCCAACAAGATAACTCTCTAAAATGTCCGAAAATTTCGGAAAGATTCAACGTATCTAAATCTCGCTGGTTAATAGGTGACTTGGGGGGCAAACAGAACAGATTAAAAGCAAATTCTGTATATTTATTTAGATAGCAACAGCTTGGAGACCTGTATTTAAAGATATCGGACTAGAGGGATAATCAAGTGATGTAAGGAGGCCGACACCCCGGCTCACATGCTCACCACAAGATTATTTTTCCTGGTGAAATAGTACATCCTAAGCTTAGCTTGTTGAACAGGTTTTAGCAAAGTCACCTGAACTGCCAAGTCACAGTTATCTCTACCTATTTTCCTTTCCACACACCAATAAACGATGTGAATGCTGATTTTCTTACACTCCTTAACACAGACAAATGAATAATTTTAGGTGGAAATTTTAACACACGCCACCGCATTTGGAACTGC